AAAATGTCCAGAAATATGAAACACAAGTCAGTGAACTTGAAATGAACTTGAAGGAGGTGAATGGTAAATTAAGTGACAGTGAAAACCAATTACAAAACTCAAATTCCAAAATTTCTGAGCTTGAAATTACTTTGCAAAACTTGAATGAGGAACTAAGAAACTCGAAAAGTGAATTTGAAGTTGAGCGCTCAAAATTAACTGCTTTAGAATCAAATTCGAATTCCAAATTAAGTGAACGCGAAAATGAACTTGAAATCGCTAATTCTAAAGTAAGTGAACTTCAAGACCAGTTTAAGATTTCAAATTCAAAAGTGGAGAGACTTGAAAGTGAACTAAAAAATGTGCAAACCACTTTGGATGAATCATTAAAAAATGAAGCTCATTTGAAAATGCAATTATCCGAAGCTCAAAGTGAATCTGAGAAATCATTATCAGAATTAACTCTAAAACTAGAGAGTGAAAACAATAGTAAACTTGCAGAATACAAGAAAAAGGCAGAGCAATACATATCACAAATTAAAAAGCAACTTCAAGGAGATACTGAGTCCATTTTAGTTGAACAAAAAGAACAAATACGTGACTTTGAGGAAAAAGTGAATCAAAAAGACAACAGAATTGTGGAACTTGAAACACAAATTGATGTTTTATCTTCAGAAAAAACGGAATTAGAAAAAATATTAGAAAACCAAAAACTAGACTTTGATTCTCAAATTTCTGAATTTCATTCCAAAGACACTGATTGGAAAGAATTTCACGAAAAAATTCAAAATTTTGAAATTGTGATCAATGAAAAAGACTTGAAATATGAAAAATTGGAAACGGAACGTAATTCGTTATTAGAAAAAATAAACATTTTAGAATCAAACTTGGATGATTTAAAACAGAAATTCGCTGAAACTTCGACTGTTTTGGAGTCTGAAAGGCGGGAATTCCAAGGTTTAAAATCAGATAAAGATGATGAGTATGAATTATTAACTCGAGAAAATAAACTAAACCTAGAAAAACTCACAAAAGATCATGAAAAATTAGTGGAAGATTTAAAAGTGGATCATGATTCAAAGATTAAACAGTTAGTTCGGGAGATGAATTTGTCATTGGCTGAAAAAGAAAAACAGTTTGAAGACACTATTACTGAGGCTATGGGTAAGTGAATGTGTTTATCAGTGCAGGCTAATACTGGTTGATAACCCCAGCTGTTTGTATCACCTTTCAAAATGGAAATCTGGAATTTAACATCATATAAAGCTGGATTCCAGGATTAAATTCTTTATTTAATATTCTTGAGATCCCAACAAAAAATGAACCTGCGACCATTATTTTTGACTCTACCATGAGTTACTGCCCTTGTTCTTTCATCTTGATATATTTTTCTCATCTGCCAGGTAAAAGTGGTAGAGATGAAGATCGACTGTTCCAGGAACATAAACAACAGGTTGATGAGCTGTATAAGGAATTACATGAAAAAGATAGGAGGTTAGAGGAAATTCATGAAGAACATCATCACAATATGCAGGTAGGTGTGGGATCAAATTGCTAAAAATGACTGTGGTAAGCTCAAACTTTGTTTTAATAGTTTTCAATTCCTGAAGAGCCTCATTGAAATTAAGAGTTAGATGATAAATGCGAGTCTATGAGGGGTGACTTGCAAAATCAAAATGCTGTGGAATTATTTAGTATTTGTTGTTAAAAGACATATCTTAAAATCCAGATAATTGTGGCAAGTGTAGAGACAGAAAGTAATAACTATCCAGAAACTGTTACTTTCAACTTCCAAGTGGTAATAAAAACTGTTTACATTGGTCTTATTGACTGTTTATTTACAGTTACAACCTAATTATAAATGTAAGTATTTGTCATATGACATAAATGATGTAATAGGTTTAGATTTTATGTTACAACTTAATAATTACATAAATGTAGGAAAAAGATAAGGTCCATCAAGCGGAATTGGTGAATTTACAAGATCAGGTAGCCAAACAGAAACAACGTCATCAAATAGAACTGTATGATTTGGAAGAAAAATTGAAAAAACAGCATCAGAATATTCTACAGTCGAGAGAAACCTTACACAAAGAAGAAGTTTCGGCGCTGACTCAGGAATGGAACCAAGAAAGAAAGGTAAATAGATCAGAGATAGATTTGATTGTGAGTAGTTTTAGTTGCTATGGTTATACAATGGCTGATAGTGTCATCATTATTATTGTGACTCTTCTGCTTATATGATCATAGAAGCTTCAAACATAGTTTATTATAAGCTTCATACTTTACTAGAAAGATTCCTTGAACCAGCTGGTGAAGGTTTCATCGACTAACTTGTCTAGAAATAAATTTGGATAATATTATTGCAGTACCCTGTATAGCTTTATTTTTTGCAAAGTAGAAGAGTGCACAATGAGTTTCATTGCTAATAGCTATGTACACTATATGGTTTGCCAGTTAAAATATAAAAACATTAGGATATTGCTGCTGCCCTGCTGTATTTGTTCAAATTTGAAAATTTTACATTTGTTGTAAATGTCACAAATGTACAAAAGTCTCACAAATACAAAACTTTCATAAATACAAAATTTCACAAAATGTAAAATATTTCACAAAAGTAAAAAAAATTCACAAAAGTAAAAAAAATTCACAAATGTAAAAAAAATTCACAAATGTAAAAAATTCACAAATTGATTGTAGCTATTAATGTTTGTAAATAGTTTGTTGTTGTTTTTTGTATTATTTTGTATATATTTGTGTTGTTATTTTATTGTTTTTAGTCGACTGAGCAGCTTTCACATGTACAGTTTGATCCCCTTGTACAGTCACCAGCAGAAGAGGTACACATTTTACCATCTCATTATAAAATCTTTCTTAAATTTTTAGACTCTATATTTTTTTTCACCCATTAGACAACCTTTATCAATTTTGAATTGCAATGGAAAGAAACTTTTAAATTAGAACTTTCATCTGGAATTTTTCTAGATTTACATTTTTCTCTGTAAACCATATTTTTTAACTTTTTCTAGAATTTTGATATCTATATTGCCCACTAGATAACAGTTTTTTTCTGTATATTTCCCCCTCCAAAAATTTTTTAAATTTGTTTGTTATTCTTAAGACAAATTTTTCTCTTTTTTGTACAATTTTCACAATTCTTTGTCTTTTTCATAGTTTTCACAAATTTTCTTTGATCTAATTTTTCCTGAAATTTGATTTAAAAAAATATATTGTTTTGTCTGCAGAGTTTTACACAACTTCAACAGATATTCCTTGAAAATCATCAAACTCAACAATCAGGCTATGAAAATGTTTGCATGTGTTTTGAATGTTGTAAACTATGCATGAGCTTTCATCAGTAAATATCATTGGATATTGGAACATGATTTTTTTTTTCAACCCAGGATGCGATTAAGAGGTTATGACATTAACGATCTATACTGTCTAATGGGACAATAAAGCCAGCCTCTGTATGCTGTGCACATTAAAAAGCCCTACACAGTTGAAAATTAAAAAGAGCAGGCTAAGTTTGCTTTCATTGCACATTGTAATCTCAATATTCATATTAAGGATAATCATAGATTTATGATGACATACAAATTTGAATACAGGTAATGGTTCAAGAAACACAGAAGACATTAACAGCATTACAGAACCAGACGACACCTGGTGGGCAGTCACGATTACAACAGGAAGTGATTGATCTTACACGGAAATTAGAGGAAGTTCAAACAAAACATCAGTAAGTCTTCTAAATTGCTTTACCAGAGGATAAAGCTCAATTCCAACTATAACCAGCAGTTGGCAATTTTTTGATTTATCACCTTCAGAAAGTGCCAATATCATTCACTCTTGTTGTTTCCTTAAATAGTGTCATTTCTTATATTTCAGATTAGAAATGGCTGAATTACAAACACAACTCCAGATGTCAGATTCAAATCTACCCACACCACTGTCAGCTAAACCAATCAAACATCAGATAGACATTACAGATCCAAATGCTGCAGAGGAAGTTCAAAATCTTGAATTCCATAATTTAGATTTACAGGTATGTGATAAGGCATCAAACATGGAGGTTGAAAGCTTGACACCAAAATCATTGGTCTAGCCATGTTATTAATAGATTCTAAAGCCCTGGCAGAGTCATTACCAGAACTAAGTTTGAAAATTGATAGACAAATGGCTACAATACCTACCACAAATTTGTACTTGACCCTAAATTAAAGTTAGTGATTGTATTTTGATATTTTCTAGGCTCATGTTTGTCAGATAAATGGTGAATTAACTCAGATGAAACAGAGAGAAACAGATCTTCAAAATAAGGTTAGTTTTGATAGGGATATTGTTGATTTAGCTATATTTCACCTATTCAGATCCCTTTTCAGAATTGAAAACTGATATTGAGTTCACCTTTAATTAAAGTATTTAGTATATAAATTGTTGTCACTGGAAGACTGCTATAAACATTCTCAAATACAAAACTTATATTAATTATCTATAAACATCCATATTTTACAGGCTCTTAAGAATCATTCTTAAATCACTCCCTAAGCAAATGTGACTCACCCCTTTATTTTCCGAGTCTTTTTGCTTTCCTGAGCCCAATCATGTCAATTGAAGCAGGACTAAATATTTCCTTAAAACTTAAATCAGATACAGCAAAGTATATTACTATTTTATTTTATTTATTTGTGTATTTATTTAAGATAAGTATGTTAGAGAATAGAATAAAATATGGTGATACACCAACTTCTCCTGCCAGTCCTAGTCATCATTCTATACATGATAGTTCTTTGATGAGTGAACCAACTGAAATTGAGGTAAGAAGGGTTGTCTTGTAATTACTAGTAATACCTATTTGCAAGTCCTATGATTGAAATCTAATTTGTCAAAAAATTTGAATATTTTTGATAGTGATGTCCTAATCAGTTTTTCTGGATTATGAGAAACCACACAGTTTAATAGTGTAAATAAAAGATATAAATGTCCCACATACAAACACTAGAAAGTGAAATACCATGATGTTGCCAACTTTTTTCCTAAAACTTTACTTAATAATAAGTAAATCTAATATAATCTATCTGTTTCAGTATTTACGGAATATTCTCTATGAATATATGATGGGAAAAGAAACCAAGGTAATATCATCTTTTTTATTTCTCTTGCATCTGCCATTCATGTCTGATGGAACTTTGAAAATGTTTGATTTTCATTCCCATTTACAGCTGTGTGGACTGGAATAATGAGGAAAAATGGCCAAAACTTCTGATTTCCATTTATTATATTTCAGACTCTTGCCAAAGTTATTTCAACTGTAGTTAATTTTGACGATGAACAAAAAAGAAATATTTTAGCGCGAGAAGATGCCAAGGTAAGTTTTGATGTGTTTTTTAGTTTTGTGTAAGGGATAAGAAGGAACTGTTTTTCCACACTAAATGTGCACTGTTTATGTTTAAATGACAGTATTGTTGATATTGGCCACAATTAGAATAAGAATTGCTTCAGATCATGAATGGTAAGTATAGTAAACCCCAGAATAAATTGAGAAAAACATTTCTCAGGATGTGCATTGTAATCAGTAAAAAAATTGTTTTCCATTTATCCAGATTCAGAAAAAATAAACGGTAAATTTTGGTGACAGTGCAGATTTTATGTTTTATGTTGTATATTTCTTTAGTCAATCAAACCAGCAACCAATCCAATGTGTCTACATTCTTATCCACCAATAGAATAACAGAATTCGGACACTGGTTTGTTATAAACTAGTTTTGGTTGAGGTTCCAATGTTATTTTTTAGTTTGGTACTTTAAAACTCTGGGTCACTGAATTGTATTCTATGTCAGTATAATCAAGTAAAGATATTTGTGTACATCCCTAGTGGTATTAAACATAACTTACACAAACAAACAATCTACCATATAGTAGTTAGAATAAATACTACTTCATTTGATATTTTGATAGTAAAGATGTAAATTTAACTTTAAGGGACAGGTTAACTATCCATTTGACCAATCTTCCTCAGTCTCAGAAACGGGGATTTTAGCTAACAAATCATTTTTAATGTTCACAGTTCACCATCTAAAAATGAGCTTTTAAATCTGTGTGTGTGTCCGCTTTGAAAGTTAAATTGACGACTCGCCATATATGGAAAGACATACATTTCTAGCACTCCTGAAGACTATTTACATATATTCAAAACCCAAATCAACCCTCCAAAATGGCAAACCCGTCCCTTTAAAATTGATCTTGAAGATTTGACCAATCAGATTACTGATATACAATCAAAATCATCACAAATTAACTGTTATAAAATAAATTCTTTACTACTTAAACTATGTTAAGATAAGTTGATTGTTTGTGTTCATGTTTTGAATCATCCCATGACATGAAAAAAAAAATTTTTGCTTGACTATAAAAGTATAGCATTCTATGCTTGATTTAAAGGTTTCTAAAAATGTCTTGTTTTATTTTTGGGAAATTACATTAAAGTCATTCTATCATTTAGTTTTGCTCTGACAAGTTATGTATCACAATTTGTAAATTGTTTTCTAGACTTTTTTTTAGAGAGTCTTAGGTTCAAATATGCTCGATTGGAGAGTTGTGAACAACTGTTCTATTTCTCCCCCAATCCAATGGTATGAAAGTGGATATGTCACATTTAAAATTTTCCCATCTATTTCTCTGCTATTTTGAATTCTGTCTGTACCCACTATTTAAAATGTGAAAATTTACATGCACAAAAATCAGATTATTGGGTTTGTTTGATTAATGTAAATTCTTTCGTTAATGAATTTGTCACAGTTTGATTTTTGGCCTTTTATTTTTAACTTTTTTTTTTTCATTTCAGTCGTGGTTGCTACCTAGCTAGTCTTCTATGGTTCTGTATCTGTTATGCACAATTCTATATTCCAAAACAATGGACAGCTTATATACTCCAAAATGTGACACATCTAACGCTTACACAATTCTCTGTTTGATTGAAAAAGAGTCCAATTTTGATTGGAGCAAGCAATATTTGCTTGATTGATTGATAGTAGGAAAGCCCAATCCAGGTACTGCTAATAAAATGGTTGATCTGTTTGATGGAAGAAGTGTTCAATCCTGATTCTATAATGTTTGCAGTATTGTCATTATACTCTTGTGTATGCTCCTTTTTTTGAAGAAGAAGAGCATATGAACACAAACATCATTGCAAACCTGAAAAGACAGTGTGAATACAAAGATTCCTTGTGAACATGCATTAAGTATGGACATGAACATTGATCATTAATTGTGAACATGTATACATTGTGAATGTGATCAATGTGAACATGCAATATGTATTATAAACATTGAACTGTATTATGAACATGTATTGTGAATGAAGGAGAATGAGAATATGGTATAAATGTAATTGAGATAACAGTATGTGTGAATTGTTTTAAAATAGTTATCAAAAATATTTATTGTTATAAATGAGTTTGAGCCTAATTTTCATAGGCTGTCTTCAGAAAGTTCATGACTAATGATTTTCAGATCACAAAAAATTCAAGAAATTTCATTGGTTAGTGTTTCCAGATATCTGAGTGGTTCCTACTATTAGATCTGAAAGCAAATTAACCAATCAGAAATGGGATTTTGATGTTTGATTTGAAGTTATGATGTTTCTGACAAAAAGCTTGAGTAATACTGAATTATTTGTGTTATACTTATTTATTAGCAATGTATAAACCACATTTCTATTCTTACTTTCATATATTCAGCTTTTTTCAAAAAAACTTCTTTGTGCTTCTTTGTAGGTTCTATATTCATGGGATTCTAGAGTACACCAAAATAAGAAATCACATTCCATACATATTACTCAAATTGAGTACTAATATTGTTCATGAATGATGATACGGTTCTCAAGCTAACTCTTATGTTTTTTTCTTGCCTGGTTTTTTTTTTTCATATTAATACTCTTATTTTGATCCCAATCTAAAATTAAGATGGATATAGGGTGGTTTGAAGTAAATATTTGATATTTGAACTCTCAGAAAGAGATGCCAAGTTGACAATCCTATATACCACATACACATGATAAGCTATGAGAGTTCTATTAAATAAATGCTTCTTTGACTCTCTGAAAGGCATTTGGAAACTGTAGGAATGATGAATCAAGTTTGGTAGCCAATTGGCATTTAGTGCCTCCATTGTGCTTTTTTTAAGTATTGATTTTTTTGTCCAACTTTTCCCGCTTAGTTACTTTAAAGAAATGTAGATTATTGGATGAATTTGTTATTTTATTATTTTTTCTACTATTGTTGTTTATATGATATATTATCTTGTTTGTTTACTTGGCTTTTAGTCTGAAACATCTGTCCTCCATTTGACACAAAATTGGGACTTATAATGTTTTGATTGCAAGTAATATTTATGACACAACAAAGTTTCAACACTTAAAGGCTCAGGTTTATTTTTTGACTATTTTGGTAGCCAATGACTGATGGCAACTGATAACAACTGATGACAACTGGGAGATCCTGAGACCTGCATATCACATTTGTTGCTCATGTTGTGCTTCCTTGCGATTGTGAGGTATATCTGTTGAGAAGTGTTGAATAACCCGTAAATCTAAGCCTGCCTTTAGAAATCCAACATTAGATCAGAAAGTTTTCAAGTAAAATTTTGCAAACTATGCATAATATTAGGTAGATGGTTTCTTATTTATTTCTGCCTTGATTTAGCTCTTGTTAACTGACTACAATTTGGGCTGTATGTATTTTTCATATTTAAGATTTATTCTAAAAGATGAGGCTTATGAAGATGGACAACGCCATACAGTGTGCCATGATTTCGGAGGGATCTTTAACGTGTACAGCCTGTAGCACACAGGGTATTATCTTGACCTATGCCGGGATTGGACACTGAACCTTTAGATTAGCTATACTTCTTGGAGCCTGAAATTTGTAATGACATTATTATTATCTTAAAGATTTATTGTAAGGTTGTCTTAAAGGGATTGTTAAGAGATTCTCTAGTCTTTTTATGAGTATTAGCTACATTTATAGCTTCCATTTTTACCATTTTGATTTTCCATTTGACAACTGGGGACCTGTGGTTCTAGAAAACCTTGACTAAACTTGATGTCATTATTGCATAAACTTTATTTGGTTCAAATAAAATTTGTGATAGTGACATCATAATCTAGTCATGAACCAAACAAGTCTGACAGGAAATTGGATTGGTGCAATTAGAAGCTATAATTATACCCAATACACATACAAAAACTAGAAAAATCTCTTTACAATCCCTTTAAATATCAGTGTTTGTAAGGGAGTCTGAATTAATAAGGGTTATATGTGGGTGCCTGAATTATCAGGGATATCATGACCTTCATTATTACTATTATCTTTATAAATTATGTGATCTTAATATATATTCTATAATAAATTTATATATTCATGTTAAACTAATGTATTTTTATTGGTCTATATAAGGGTATTAACAGTAAGATATTTATGCATATTCCAAGAATAAAAAACAACTCTCTGATGGTATATCATGATAACTACCATATATCAAGATAATTCTGTATTTTTTTGTTTCCTAATGGTCTTACAAATCATGAATGGCAAGCGGAATCATCTTCAGAAATAAAATGAAACAAAACATAACGTATTGATTTCACTTTTGAATTACAACAGTGTCCTCTTATATACCTCTGTATCTTATCTTATCTACAAGTTATATTGATGTATAACTGAACTGGTGGATATGTCTCTGTATCTAATCTATAAGATAATTAATATTGATTATCATTATAGATATAGATACTTTCTTATGGTAAGTAAATCATATATTTATTTTTGCACATTTTGAAGTCCAAATGTATGTATTATAATCATTTCATTGCATTTAAATGCAAAATTGATTTTATTGATTTTATCTAGAACACTGAAACCATAATATATAACTTGAGAGGCCTAATACTTAAAACATCAGAAATTTGAAGTGATTGTAAAGAGATTTTCTAAACTTTTGATATGTATCAGGAAAAATGATATTGTCAATTTGCACCATTTTAAGTCAGACCTCTTGGTTTTCTTGGTCAAACATATTATTGTAGACCATCTAAATTTTCTCTTAAGATAAAAAAAATTTCGAATGGTTTATTTTTTTCAGATCATTGAAATATTAAAATGGTGAAAAGGAAATTAGGAAGCATTCGAACAGGAAATGAGAAGGAAAGTGACTTCAACAATTCTCCACCGAAACCTCTTTTCCCATCAATTCCAATGGTCATACTCTTGTTGGTTGTTGGTGTTATATTTGGTTATGTGTTTCATTCAGAAATTTCCAAAGTTGTAAATGCTGTCTCAGAAATAAAAATATCATTTTCACAAAGTCCTAAAATTGTCAAAGAGGTGAAAGAGCAGAATAAAGTGGAAAATGAAGAAGAACATGTATTTGAAAATGCAAAATATGCCAAAAATTATGAAAATTTTGAAAATGACCCTTACGATGCAGAATTGCAAAAATTAAAAGAAAAATATAAAATATTGGAACAAAATCAAGAACATTCTCAAAATCAGGAACAAAGTAACATAAAGACAGAAAAAGTTGAAGAAATTATTTTTGAAGATGATGATGATATAACTGAAGAAGAGTATATGAGAATTCGTCGTGAAGCAGGCGTCTTGAAAAAGGAAGAGACCTCCAACAAGAAGCGAAAACCAGAATTAAAGAAAGTGGAGCGGAATGAAGATTTGATGGAATCAGAAATTGAAGAATTAGACATGAATCATGATTCAGATGAAGAACAATCTGTTGACAATGATGTTGGAAATAGCAAAGAATCACCTGAAACCCAAAAAGAACATGATTTTGATGATGAAACATCAAAATCTATTTCTGATAACAATTTTAATGATTCTCAAACACGAAAAACAATTTCCAAAGGTGATTCTGAAGACAATTCAAAAACCTTTGTATCAGGAAGAGAAATTTCTGCCAAAGATATCGCAGATGAATCTGTAACAGTTGAAGATGTTGACATTGAAGGTGAAAATGACAAGAATTCTGAGATTAAACATGTAACTTTTGACAGTTTGGACGCTCGTGAAGGTTGGACTGTATCTGGGGATGAAAATATCATCAAATTTGGTGGCAGAAACAGCAAAAAATATGTCAATTTGAAAGTTGATCAGGACTCTATGAAAAACAAGGGAAAATCAGAATCAGCTAAAAATAAGGTCAATCAAGACAGTATTAAGAACAAGGCTACCAATAAGCAAAATTCTGTTAATGCAAAATTAAAGAAAGAAACAGATTCAAAGACTGCTAACAATAATGATAAATCAAAATCCAGATCCAAACATGAAAATTTGAAGGAGAAGCAAAAACAAAAAGATGGAGTACAAGATACATCTTCAGAGTCTTTAAAAAATGACCCCAACTTACCAGATGAGATCAAGAATTTTAAGGCAACCTTTCAGAAGACTCTGACCCCTAAAAAAACTTTCATTGATGGGCGTCGGGTGCCAGCTGTAGAATTATTACCACAGAAAGAAACAAACAGCAGTGTCAAGTAAGTCTAACATTGGTCATATTTTAACACATTTCTTACCTATTGTTTAGAATTCATACTTTTCTGAAACTGAAATGAGATTTGTAGATTGTTTGATATTCAATTCAATTATAACTTTTTTTTAGAGTATATCTATTTGATGAGTTTCTATCTGAAGAAGAAGCAGATGGATTGATCAAAGCTCATGACGCCCACGTTAAACAAGCTTCTCAGAATCCCCCTATTCTATGTTTTGACAGTGTTAATACTCTTCAAAAACATCTTAAAGATGCTAAGAAAAAAATCAGAATATCACCCAAAGATTTTACTGAAGGTACATGTATGTTGAAAAAGTTTAAATTTCTGCTTTTTTCTGAAATTTTAATTTTCAAAAACCATTTCAATATCCAGAAAGCATTTTAATTCTATAAAACTATTTAAACCTGATACAATATTAATATAGAAAATGTTTGAAATTTTTTTATACTGTTTCACTGCTCTAATATCATTTCATTTGGTTCTCATCGTTTTCAGATTTCTGAAAAGTTTTGGACCTCCATGGATTTAAAAAATCTCTAAAAAAATTGGAATCTGAAGACTATTTTCTATTTGCAGGAACAACTTGTGTCAATCAGACATTTTCTGCCAAATTAAAGAAATGGTTGCATGGTAATTGGAGTTACAGTACAGCTTTTTATCCTGGAGAGAGTCGTTTTTCTTCTATTCTAGCCTTTCGAATAAACAACGCCATGGGTTTGAAACCCTCTCATGGTGGAAAATTTCAACTGACATCTTATCCTATTGGTAAAGGTCAGTAGCCAGAAACTACTCATAGTGTTTAGCTATGTGAACTCTCTAAAGATAAGAAATTGACAAATACAGTGCAGAGAAGGAATAGGACTTAGAAGGAATAGGAAGTGGACTATTTATGATAAATTATGCCAATTCTGTTTTCATGGCTACGGCTGGACAAGACTAATGTCATAGACTTTGTTGCAACCTCATAAATAATAATCTAGGGTAAAATGAAAGATTTTTCTTGCAGCATATAAAACACATACAGACTGTAATGTAGGGAGTATTGATAAACGAGATAGAATGGCGTCTGTTTTAATCTACCTTAATACAGTTAAAGATGGCGGCAAAACAGAGTTTCCAGGTTGGTTAATTAGTTTGTGAGAAGTATGCTGTTTATATATTATTTCATATTTATTAACATCATTAAAGGAATATTATCTTTCCACTCTCCACTGATGAATGGATACTTTTATTTCGCCAAGTTTAAGAATTAAATTTTGTTGTTTTTGGATATTTTATGACTTATAACAAATATCACTGTATAGATCTAGGAATCTGGGTGAAACCAAGGAAAGGTCGAGCGTTGCTATGGAATAATATGAACAGTGATGGAGTCTGTGAAGAAACATCACGGCACGAAGCTGCTGTTGTTAAAAAGGGACAAAAATATATTCTCATTAGATGGTAAGTTCTGTCCTATATTTCTGCACCAGTTTGCCATCTAAAAATGACCACACTCTGCCAGGACAGCTGTCTTAAGAGATGGATTTAAAACTGAAAAGCAATATATAAAGCTTCATTTTAGGAGCTTATTTGTCTTTAGATTTTTTCATTTTTTTTTTCATTACAGGTATTATTATCAGAATTTCTATTCCTTGGGAAAACGACCAGAGGAACCAAACCTACCAAAAAGAAAAGAAGGACAGCCAAGAGTATCATGTGATGAATATAATAATGGAAGTTGTCGCTGGTATGATGAATGGGGCTATGATCATTTACTAGATTATCAACAACAAAAACTTACGCTTATTTAAATTAATGTTTCTTTATTTACACCCTGTTTCCATAGTAGGGGCAATAGAATTGTCAGGTCATATAGTAAATTCTTGGGGGAATTGCTGGAGGGGGTCAGCCTTATTTATCAGGAGTTTATCCATTGTCCCCCCGTCCTTGCCCTCCTCACCCCTCCTATTGAAGAAACACCATTGAGGCCAATGCCAAAAAGGATTACCGGTACCCTTAAAGGACCCACTTCATGATCTTATATTGTAAGTGGAACCAAAGCTTTCTAGCCTCAGCCTTGGTGCTATTTTTAGACTTGTCTCTATTACTTTGAAACATGCAGTTTTTCATGGTTTTCATTAATAAAGTTAGCTAATACTGTTACAGTGAGTTGATTAAGGACTAGGTGCTACTGTATTGATGGAATGGAGCTTTTTCTAAATCAGCTTTCTTTTTAAGGGTCTAAGGGAAACAACTCTTTTTAATAGTTTTAGTAACCACATAAATTCCAGACTTTGAAGCAACATTAGAAGTTAACATGAAGAAAACATGAAATAACCGGTTGATTTCGTTACTTTTGCTGCAAAATTTTATTGAAATTTTTGCAAAAAAGAAAGTACGAAACTGTCTGTGATTGACAGTCGAGCAAGTGCCCGCTCCGTATTATTCAATATGGCGGCTGGTTGCGCTTGGAAACTACGACGCTCTTTTCAATTTAATAAATAATAAATTATTTTAAATCATAGTAAGTGCCTCTTTGTTAAAATTTAGCTGCCTAGTTAGTTGCGAAATAATGGAACAATCTAATCTTTATAGATAAATTTAACTGACAAGACAGCAGCATTTTGAAGAAATCTAAAATTTTATTGTAGATGCAAATGATGCACAAGGCAAATAAAAAATAATGTCATTCCGTTACGAGCATTCTAGACTGTGTAGTGAAGACAGTTAACTTTGCATTATTGACTGAATGTGTAGATAGAAAGCACTTACATTGTCATGATTTCAGTTTCCCCACCAAAAGTAAAAAAAAATAGTAAAGTTTGCAAGGTCTCCGATTGTCCAATGTAAGCAGAGAAGGAGAAGACCAGCCTAGTCTGATGCAAAAAGTGTGGGTGGAGACTAGACAGGTGACAGGTGAATTTATCAAATTTCTTTTAGGACTTTTATAGACTGATTATCTGATCTCTTATTCGTTTGAAAATTGAGCTTGGCAATGCAAACATTTAAACATCCAAGAAGACCCCTTTAATGATGTAATGTCACGGATGGGCCTAGGCTATTTACTAACACTATTACCCATTAAATGCCTAGCCATAAGTCAAGTCAACCCTTCCCTTACAAAACTTTTATGTATTTTTCAGACATAAATACTCAAGAAATATTGTTTGAAAACCCCTGATATAACATTCATCATGGCAGAACCAACATCAGAAGAACAGCATCAAATCACCATGATGGCGAGAAATGCCATGAGTTTTTTTGAACGCTTTGACAATTATGATTGTCAGGAACTTTTAGCATATTCCTCCTCTCATTGGATGTTATCAACAGATGAATTTAAATTTCCCACAGACCCGCCAGTAGGATTAATAAGTAACGTGAATCAAGCAAACTCTGATAAATGTGTTTTGTTGATGCCTGTTGACGAAACTGTGACTCCTTTCGACTATCGAGAAATTCATCAAGTAATGAGGGAGCTTCTTTATGGAATTTATGTTGTAAATCAGACTCCTACGTTGTCATTGGAGACGAACAATGATCAAAGCACAACGTGTCAATTGTCTCCAGCATACCTCGATACTAAAATTGGACAAACCATGATCAGTGTGGACTATATGATGAAAGGGATGTGGCATGGAGCCTATCTACCTAAAGATAAGCGAATCAAATTCTCAGAGCGATGGCGTATGAATCTTGACGTAAATGCTCATGGGAAAGCTGAAACAAAGAAATCTCTAATGACAGAATTCAAAAGTGCTGGTAGGTAACATTTTATAATCCTTGTTTATTTTTGGGAATCTTAAAAGGAAATCTAGTGACCAAGTGAATCACTTTTTTTCCGTCTTCTTTCCCCTGTCAGGAACTTGAATCCAATGATCTTACATGGAAATTCATAAACTTAAACCCTGCTGTGCACATCTCTTGACTAATTTACATTACATGGTATTTTTCAGGTTTAATAGATATAACAACTGATCCAGATTACACTAATATTTACGACAGAATACCTCCAGATTTACCAGGTGACACAGACATGGAACAGGAACGGAAATTCTTTATGGCACATGTAGAGGATTTGAGCATGAAAATAGCGTTTCATCAAAATGATGTGGATTTTTATAAAAACATGTATTTGGTGGATTCTGATTGGATTGTTTCAAGTATTGTTAGATTATTGGACAATCGCATCGATAATTCAGGCTACGAACGTTTAAAAACCAGACTTCAGATGCATGAAGAAATCATTAAGTCATATTTGCCAAATAAAACAGAAGTAAGACGTAATATTGAGTTGCTGAAGCTGGTTAGTTTTCTGACGCCATTTTTAGTTGGAATGAGAAAAAAGATGAAGATTCCTGATATTAATCGCTTATTACCTCCCCTTTCAGGTAACAAATATTTTATTATTCGAATTTTAATGACGCAATTTAAAAATGATGTGGGCCTAGCTTTTTTCAAATGTCCATTTATGTCAGTTTATTCAGGCTTACTGTGTCTAAATTCACTATGAAAATTGCTTTGTTTTTTTTTTGTATTTTCATTTTTTGATATGGCAATTTTATTTTGATTAATGCCAGTGGAACTTGTTTATTGTTTTCACCCTTTTGTGTTATATATCATTTTGGTATTTATCTTTCCTTAAACCTCATTAAATATTATATTATGATTTTTCAGCTGAAGAATGTCGTACTGAAAGAGAGTTACCACCCCTTATTCTGGGCTCAGATTTCAAATGTCCTAATTTTGAGTTTGGTGAACAGTATTTTAACTTGCATGGAGGTGAGAATTTTGGACAATTTGTATCTGTGTTGAGACTATAACCGAATGGGAGAACGAATTTGATTGGATGTGACTTAATTGCATGACAAATGAAATTAATTGAAACAAAATTTTGCAAGTGATTCAAGGGATTAACAATATATATGACTATTTTATAACCTGATTTCTAATCTGTTGAAATTGAAAACGGACAAAGTATTCACCTATTTGCACTCTTTTTCCAGGTATTGTTATCGATTTGGAGACCAATGAAATGAATCAGTTGAACAACCAGTTTATTGAAGCCTATCCTACTTTACATGATGATTCAGTCAAATATTTGAATAAGATGCTAGACCCTGATGCACAACTACAAGAACATTATGCAATTCCAATACAGGAGATTGATGGCAAAAAGTAAGTGGAGCATGGGTAGCCATTTTAATTGTTGTCTGCTAGGTTGTTAGAAGCAAATTGGGTTGTGGTGAGCTAGGCTTAAAGGAAAAGTTTTCAACTAGGCATCCCTTTCAGAGAGTCTTCATATCCAAGGTTTATTAGGTTCAATTTATTCGCTACATAATTTGCACCAAGCTTCTACATCCCTTGCACCAATGTTTGAAATTTTGTACTATATTCTTTTCAGATACTATGTGATTATGTTAGAATTTGAGACCTACTATGCTGCTATGCCCCAGAAACCATTGTGGATACGAGCCTTCCATGAGGAGGTTCAGGCCCTCAAACCTAAAAAACTACCGATACATGAGATCCCTCTACATGAACAGTTCAAGAAATACTTTGGTTTTAAAAAAGCCATTAAATATAAGGTAAGTGAAGAACAACTTCAGATAAAAATTTGCTAAAATCAGAGTAAAAAGTGGAATCTTGAACTATTTGTTGTAAATTTTAATTTACAATAGACTGATGCCCTGTGTGCTCACAAAAGTTGGAGATCAAAATAGAGTAGACTGCCTCCATTGGAGAAAAAATTCCCTCATTGAACACTAGATGACATCTGTCTGCCTGACATTTCATAAGCCAAATCTCTAGCAGTTAAATAAAACTCCAACTCATTTCATCAGTAAAAGTTTAAATACTACCATGTACTACCATAACACAATCAATATGAAGGAGTAAAGTAGGACATGTTACTATTTTTTCAATCATTATTATTTTACAATTGCAGACGCCACAAAATGGACTTAAAGCTGCAGCCCAGAGAGGATTGGTCGCCATGTTTCAAGCCTTGTGTCGTAAGATGCCAGCTTCACGTCTGGGTAAACAAGATGAACATGGTTTATCCTACCTCCATTATGCAGCCATGCACAATCGCCCCCAGATTATAGCTGTTCTCTTGATGCAGTCTATGGATGTAAACGTCCGCAGAAATCATATAGTTGGAAACGGTAGGTTTATTTTTGTTGAGTCTAAAAATTTGTGATTTTGAGTGCTACTAATGGCTATATTATTTTATAATTGGAATATACTCATATTTTCAGATTTTTGGTTTCCACGTCCAAACATTTGACCCATTTGAGCGCTGTTGCAATAATGAGCATTTTAGGTGTTCCTAGTGTTCAAAAATGCTCTTTTTTAAACTTCTTCTTATGGCAGACCTGATATCACTCTACGACTGGCTTTGTCATAATGCTTTGACATCAGATCAGCTTGTTTGGAAATTTGGACTTGAAACATAAGAATATGTTTCAACTACTCTATGGGAAATTTTTCACTTTTAATAAATTATCTCTTACTATTTTGTCTATTAGAAATCATAGAGGATCCTTACGGTAAACTTTCATTCTTGGCAGGAATGGTCACTTAGTAGATTTAGAATTTTTGAAACAATATTCAATTTCATGTATATTCACAAATATCTTATCACAAAATGGCACGAAAGCATGAAATTTCCTTAAAAAAATTCCCCCCGAATATTTTTTCTACCAGATGATCAATTTCATCTAAATGACTCATTTTAAGTTAAAATCTAGCACTTGGCTCAATAGCCAACTGGACAAGTATTCCACTAAAAATGATTCACTTCACATCTCAGTCAATTTAAGATCTAAAATATCTCCCCTTTTGTCATAAGTGTGACATCCTACAAAAATTGATAAGATTTTTTAAGAAACAGAAGTCGGTTCTTACTGGCTTATTAAACCAGCATGCACAAACTTTATAGTATCATTTGGTATTTAGTCTTAACAAAGCTTGCAGATATTGTCCAAATCATCAAGTATTCAATTGATTTCAGGTCCAACTGGTTTGCATATGGCTGCCAGATGTGGATCTTTAGATGCTGTTGCCTGTCTGCTCGCTAACTTTGCTAACGTTCTGGCCACAGACCAAGATGGCTGGGCTCCTGTCCATCATGCAGCATTCTTCAACCATCAAGACATCTTGACGTTGATGATACGGAAAAACTCTGGCTTGATGGAACTCGCCACTAAAAATGAGTAAGTTTTAAAAATATTGCTTGTTGTGTTGAATTCAGGCTTGATCCCTGCAGAGATTGATATGACACCTTCAGATTTATAAAACTAGTTTGAAGGTATGAAAAGCTGACATGGAAGAAGTGTCCAGTCGTTCAGATGGAACAAGACATGGAGGGGCAGTGTGCTACATGGTGTGTTTGTTAAAGGTTCCTGGAGCGTTTGAAAAATATCTTCATCTCTCGTAACTGTGGCATCCAAAATGTCCTACTACTGTATATGATACCTGAATTATCTTTCAGTGCCAAGTCCTCACCACTTCTTCTAGCAGCAAGCTCTGGTGCTCTGCAATCATTGAAGTGTTTAATTAAATTGGAAGCTGACATAACAAAGGTTGATAACGAAGAAAATAATATGGTTAACTTGGCAGCATTGCGTTTTCATACCAATATTCTGGAATATCTCATAGAGTGGAATAATCCTGATATTCCAGTTTGGAAAATTTTAGTTGGTGAGTTGACTTTATAATTATTTCCATTTGGAACTTAAAAGACAATTCTCATGGAAATATAATTTTGAATTGAAGTAAGGATAACTGACTAAAAAAACAAAAAGTATCATATGTTTGTGTTTAAAGCTGTGTCATAGATTCACTGTAAAGTTTATTTACAGACATGTTAAAAGATGATAATATGACAAAACAAGATGCTGGAGTAAAATGTCTAGAAGTTTTATCAACTTGTAAACCAAATTACTGGAGATCTATTCTGGATGCAGGTTGGTCTATATTTAACTTTCGGCAGTTCAGGTAACTCAGTGACTAGATGCTGAAGGGAGTTGCAGTTTCAGAGTTATATGCTTGCTCTGTTACATCAGAAGTACAGGGCTCTATCCAAGCAAAGGACAAATTAATTTGTTAATTTCTGAGGATTTTTCAACAAGGTTCTTCTCAATGACGATTTTTGAAAGGTTTTCAAGGAGGCCTCACCTGCCTCATATGTAATAATGCCTCAAAATGAGATTTCACAACAATATAGGCTAGTGGGCGCTGACAGCAGTTCATTCAAAGACTGTCTTTAGAAAGGTTGTAGGACTTGTTTTATTGAATTTTCATATTTGTCTTTACATATTTTGATGTGATATTGTAATTTCATATTTTGACAGATGGAATACCAGCACTAGTGAATCTACTAAATACAGAAAATGAAGAAATCCAAACTGTAACAGCTTCAGTTATTTGTAACATCTCAGAAAACCATGAAATACGATTTGCATTAACAAGATGTGATGCTGGCCCAATACTCATCAAACTATTAGAATCACCAAATGATGACATCCAATCACGAGCAGCCATTGTTTTATCAGATCTTGCCAGTGTTGAGGGAAATCAGGACCATTTGGCTAAGAATGGAGCCATAGCACCTCTTGTTCAGTTGTTGGAATCAGAACTAGAAGATGTGTTAGTGAACACTGTGAACGCTATCCGTGTTATGTGTGTTAATAATAGGGAGAACCAGAATGCTGTTGCTAGTAGTGGTGGTATTGAACCACTTGTAGAATTCTTGACTGTTAACTCAGGTAGGTCGATGTAACTTGATGTTATTCTTTCTAATGTTTGTTGCAGACATCAAGCAGTCTTTACAGACTATTAAATTGAATATTCTTCTATCAAAATATTGATGTTTATGTACTGACTTTGCTATATTTAGATATTCTACAAGCTGCTACTTCTGCTGCACTATCAGCAGTGACAGCTGGCAACAAGGAAATTCAAGATGCCATTATGGCAGAGGGTGCTATCAAGTAAGCGACTTTATAGATTGTAAACCTATTGCTCTCTGTAGTCAAAAGCCCTGGCTGAGGTTTCAGAAATTGGAAGGCTTTGAGGGATGATTCCAGGATGATTTCAAAAGCACATGCCCTTGAAACAGGACAAGTTTTTCTTCCTTACCAATGCATTGGTTAAGAGATGACTGCTGGTTCAACTTATGAATCAGACATTTTTATTTTGCCTTAGAGCATATTCAGGATCATATTTACAACTGTGTTCTTGACAACTCTTAAGGCCAGAGTTCAATCCACAAAACACAAGAACTTTATAGGATATCGTCTTGGTGTAATGACCAATAGCCCCTCTAATATTCGTAATTTTGTTTCAGACATATAGTGGATCGAATAAAATCAAGTCGTAATGTGACAGTTCAGGTTAAAGCAGCAAGTGCTCTAGAGGCTTTGGCTGAAAAAAATCCTGAAATACAAATAGCTTTCTTAGATCTTGATGCTCCTAAAGCTTTAATTAAACTCTTGAAGGTATGTGTTGATCTTTAAAGGACAAACATCCAGTAAAAGTATGACCTAAAGCATTCTGAATTTGGGCCCAAACATATATGCAATTCCATGTATCTGTTTTTATCGTTTCATAACCCTTTTAGTGAGTTACCAAAACATCTGGAGCATACACATCATAGTCTCAATCATAAACCCTGTAAATATGGGTAGGCTACAGCCTCTATATAAAATGTCAAAGTTGGTAATATGCAGACACCATAATTTCAAAATATAAATTTGTATATTTTTTCTAGAATATCAATGTTGAGGTTCGTGAACAAGGTGCATGTTCTTTATGGTCTCTAGCAGGCTATAAATATACTCAACAGAAATATATAGCAGAACGTACTGGTATCCAGAATATTATACAGATGTTACTAGAACCTACAGAAAAACTTCTATATGTTGGTTAGTTCTTTATTATACTTCATATAATTATAGCAAGTTCTCTGAAGCAAAGGTTGTGGAATCGGAAATTGTCTATTACCCTTTGATTTTGAATTATAGCAACTTATAACCTTAGAAGATTACAATCTAACTTACTTCTGACTGCCTCATCACACTATAGCCCGAATCTTCTGGCAGGTAAAAATACAACTATATACTGACTGAGCTACTTCACTGCTCATGCAGAAGTTCTTTCACTGGACCAAATCATTTATTTTTTTTTTTTTTATTGTGCATTTTGAATTTGCATAAGTGAACTTGAGAATTCCCTAATATGTTTTGGCTTAATCATGTTATTGTCATTTTCATAATTTGTAGGTTGTATGACGGCAATAGCTATGGGTCGAGAAAATATTGAAAACCAGAATAAACTTTCTGATGCAGACGCTTTCCAACAATTAGTTCGTTTACTACGATCTAAAAATCAGAAAACTTCACGTAGAGTTTTATTAATGGTGATTAAAACATTAGGCATTCTCTGTGTAGGTGGGTACTAGATAAAGTTTGACCTTCATCTTGTCATTCATTTGTAAGCTGAAATACTTTTTGGGTTTCCTATCCATTGAATCATGTAGTTGTGAGTGTCTCATTGGTCTGGTAGTCCTTGCGGCAACAGACTGTTCTTATTAAAGATTTCCTCGAAATGCTGCTTTTCCATATTGCACACTGCATGACATAGCCCATCAATAAAATTACAATTAAATAAAGCAGACAAGATGTAAAACTCCACTCCCTTCCCTTGATTCTAGGTGTAGCCTATAGAAATAATAAAGTAACACAGAGAAAAATTGCAGAGGAGGGTGGAATACCTATTCTGGTAGAAAAACTTGCAGAACATCCCAGCCAAGAAATTCAAGTAGAGGTGGCCATCACTCTTGCCTGTGTCGTACTTAGTAACCATAGTAACCAGGAAAAACTACAAGAAGAACCTGACTTTAACTTTGACTCCTTACTGGGGTTGTTAAAGTCTCGGGATGAGGTAAGATTCGTCTGAATATTTACTTGACCAGCTGATAAAGCTTGATTTAATCCATCTGGAGCATTCAATTCTGAGGTTCATCTGCAATGAAATGAAAAGTACCATGTAAAATATGACAATACAATCATCCATGATGTTATTAACATTTCATTGTTTACTTCCAGTGGAGTCATAATTTTTTTTTTTTTCGGGGGAAGGTTTTGATCTAACTGGTGTACTTTATGTACTAACTTGAATATTGTTCTCTTTTCAGGACATCCAATTAAAAGCGGGAACAGCCCTCACTATTTTTGCCTTCAACAATACACCACAACAGTTTGAGATTAGAGAGGCTGGAGGGATCCAGTTTTCACTGTTTGAAAGATTTTTGGAATCCTCTGATGAATTTTATCAATGCTACGCAGCTTTCCAGGTTAGAATTCTTGATTGAAAAGTGAAAACAAAAACAAAATATTTTAATTAACGTGATCTTTACCTGATAGATTGGCTGGGGTAGACTACATGTTTGAGGAAATAGTTGATAGTTTACAAGCAGTAGGCTACCTGAAACAAATTCTTCACGTATGCAACTTTCATCATTAAATAGATTTTCAATACTTTGTATGTTGTTGAAGTTTTTTATGTAAAGACTTTCTGGTAAACATCGTAAATACCACATTTTGCTTTTGACAATTTTCTTTTGAAATATTTCAGATTGTTGTCTTAGCGCGAGTTATCGTCGATCAAGATCAAGTCATGTTAACAGCAAGAGGAGTAACTCTATTAGTGAACAAACTCCATTCTGAGGACCACAATGTCATAGTTTTAGCAGCAAGTCTACTGTCAAGTTTGGCTCATACTCGGGCTGGAATACCAGATGCCATGATCACCACTGGTGCCATCGATCTATTAATAGAACATTTACATTCATCCAATGAACAGGTGCGAAATTCTGTTGCTGTGGCATTGGGATATATGACATTTAACAAAACTGCGTCAAGATTGTTGTTTTCAGCGTGTAGGAATACGCCTGGACTATATCGTCTGCTCATGGAAAATATTGGTCCTGATGCCCGAATTAGTGATGATTTTGTTGCAGATTTTAAACGAGCAAAACATGTTGGGTTACCCTCACAATGGTAAGTTCTGTATCTTTTATTCGAACCAACTTTTTTCTTGTTCTTCCGAAGGTCTAGATAGCATTTGATTATATTCAACAGTGTAGAACCTTGTTTTGTTTTCAATTCTGAAATATAGTTCTTTTCTGTGGCAAAAAAAAAACAAATTTAGATTTTTGACAAAAAATGCTCACGATAGCAGCCATTATACAATGTTATAGAATGTAATTTTCTGTTTTTAGTTTGGAGGTAAATGGAGGTAGACCCCAGACAGCATTTTCAGGTAATTGTAACAAAAAAACTTGAGTTTATCAGTTGAGGGCAGTTATTACTGCCATTTTGACATCAAACATTAGAATATTAATAGTCTGAATGTGATGAAGGTCTGTGAACATTTTTGTTGTATTTCAGTATTTCAAATCTGAAAAGTGTCCCAGGTAGTTGAAAATTGAACTGTCAGTTGGTAAAGTTATTTCCCTAAATTATTTTCAGGTGCAAGACCACATACAACTCAAGCTAGTTCCAGAAGTTACTCAAGATCTACTAATAGAGCTGTCTCAGCCCCTGCTTATGGTCGAAGAATGAAGAAATCCTTATCAGCAAACTTGACAGAGAAGAAAAAAACACCAGATATACGACCTCTAACAGGAATATCACGGACTACATCTCGACAAAATACAGATACATCCGATTTTAAAACTAAACTTAATGCTTGGAAGTAAACTGAAATTAAAAAGAAATGTTTTAGAAAATGCTGTAGGACTTTTGATTTAGCTTTATTTACCAGTCATGTCTGACTAGAGCTCTAGACTGTTATTTTGGTTGTTTTAACAGTCATGTTTATTAGACCTATATGCTGTTTGTCTTTCATTAAATATAACTAGTTCTGTATACCATTTCATATAAAAAAAATGGGCAAAAATTTTATCGATGTGCCAAATGATCTAATAAGATTCCAATTTAGGTTGGCAGGGTAACATCAGGTGTTCTGAAAGTGTAATCGTGGCTTTCCCATTCTCTTATTAATAATTATTGTTGTAGATGCTCAAAATAATTTACATTTGAAGATTTTTACAGTATTTTTTTGTGCTAACGCTCTGTGATATTGTATATTGATTTTGTTTGTCAGTTTTTAAACTGAACTTTGTTAGCTTTTACCACAAGCATTAGAGTTTGGTATTTTACTTCTTCTTCAGCTGATGTTTTACCACTTACAATTATAAGTTACATTTTTGTGTCAATTCAGTATTACAGTATTCTTTCAATCATGAACTAGAGCTTTTGATGTAATTTTATCGTTCCATTCTAGCAAATCAACTGATTCAAATCAGTGTAAAGAATTGTTTTACATTCCTTTTCTAGTTTGAGCTTATGGCAACACCATAAAGTATGCAATGAGTGAAAAATTGATATAAAAATACAGTGTGCAATCTAGATTGTAGTTTTGATATGAATATCCCAGGTACCAGGTTGTTTAGCTCTTCCTCACCATTATTTCGCTGAATTGATAACATACTTTTCAATATAAGGTTTGTCTGAAGATTATCAGTAACCCACAGAAAATATATAAAATTCATATTAAATACTTTCAGGAGAAAGTTTTCTAAGAATATATGGTTTTTAACTAAAATTGTATTTAAAGAATATTGGTAAAAGTAGGGAGAGCTGTATTTTTTATGTATTTTTAATTGTATATTGTATTATTTTATATTATTTATTAATAATTGTTTTATTAGCAATAGAATTCCTTAAAAAACTCTTGTAATTTTATAAAATGTGACCAAATCCTCTATTATGGAAAATATATATATATCTTACATTTTACAGTCAATTATGGCAATCATCAGGAAAACCAAAAAGGTATTTGAAAGGCTTTTCAGTTCAAACAATAGGTGATAAAATAGGACTTTATTGCCAAACATCATGTCAATATATGTAATACACCTTCTCTCAAGGGGAAATTTAGATCAGATTTAACAGGTTGTAAAAAAAAATGTCTGTCTGTCTTCATTTTGTCTTCACTGTCACAAAACTTGGATAAGAGCAAAATTGAACCATTATCTCCATAGCCACACTTACCTGGCTTTTATCCTGAAAGAATAGGTTGAGATGATAGCTTCAGATGTTTCAAACTGATTTTCTTTTGTCCATAATGCAAGTCTTTGTTGCTTGTATGGAAAAATATTTCAAGACAGTAGGCACCAACATAACCTAGGCAAGTTTGTGGTCAAGTAAAAAATATTATAGTACTACTTCATTACCACATAAATGGAATGTTTAAAGTGATAAACACAAACTTTAAAAGAACATTATATTTCTTCACATGCAAATACAATATAATTCACAATAATATAATAATTATAGTAATTTCGGTATATATCACCATTTAAATAACACTTGACCTTGATACAAACTGGAGAATTACAACTACAAAAAACAAAAATTATGAGAACAATGTTAGGTTGAATAGTAACATTTTCTTAAAGGATAACGGGTGGTTGTGCGTATAAAAATCCCATGAAAGTTTGAAATTGTGAAAATCTGTCCAGCTCGATCGGTTGCTCAAAGTAAGGTGTGAATCTCCTGAAGTGTTTAATTGTTGTGATCATACTTACCTTATTGGCTGTTGTTATTATAATAGTTGTTATTGTTATTCCTGTTATAGTCGTTGGTATTGGCGTTATAGTTCGTATTATAGTTATCACCATTGTTATTCCTGAACTGGTTGTTGTTGTTGTTATTATTATTAGCTGGGAAGTTGTTTTGGTTGTTATTATCATTGTTTGGGACGTTGTTATTGTTGATATTGTTGTTGTCGTATTGACCATTTTGCATCTGGTTGTACTGGGCATCGAATGTTCCAGCGAAGCCTTGCTGAGCGGCTAGTTTCTTCACCTGTAAAGTATGAACGAAATAAAAATCGTGAAAGATCGCTATTGTGGCTCATATGAGATGGTACCCGAGTTGTGGACAAACAACTTATATTTAGATAGGCACCAACTGTGTTCTGCTTCCAAATGACATACATCATCGAATACCTGATGGTCTACATGATATACAAAGCGTACAACGTAATGGGAAACGTCTGCAGCCTATTATAGAGGGACCCTGGGGAGGATTACAAAGTTTTATATGCACCTTCCTTATATCCGGCGTATATGGTTCCTTCGATTCAGAAAACATTGCCAAATATGACGCCAGCAACGCAAATTCCTGTCATTTCCCCCTTGTTCAGTAAAGATAAGTTGCAACCTACCTTTTCAACGTAGAATTTAGAAGAATCACAGATTGTGTTGACCAAACCTCTCATAAACCATCTTTTAGCCTGTTCCGGAGATCTAGGGATGGGGATGACACCACCTTGTCCAAACAGCTGACTTGGATCATCGCCAAACACATTCTGTTGATTGTTTCCGTAGCTACCGTAGGAACTGAAATGATCACATATTTCACTCACAACTTGTAGAAGTGATCTGTTAAGGAAATGCCTCCAAAAGTTGTATTGTCACGCCACGTTCGTGTAAGGATCAGCGTTTTTTTCTTAATATGTGTAATTTCAATGGTCCAGTTGGGATTTGCACGTGCATTTGGTTTCAATTGTTCCGTCTTCAATATGTATACAAGAAAGTATGGTTGTACTAGCTGCGTGAGTGACGATTGTTGCATGGGTTGTGGAAGGCTGGGTTGATACTGGGGGTTGGGTATGGATTGAGGGTTATCAAGTAGCAGAGCATGCTTACCTGTTGCTTCTGTCGGCACCAGAGAAATATTGGTGTAAATCTATGATATCATCTCGACATTTACAAAATTTGATGACTTGAAACACCAAACCAAACACATGTTCTCGTCTTTTCTGTTGCAGTTGTCCTAACAGAGATCCGAACTCAGCCTGCAAAAAAGTCGCCTCGGAATTATAGATCTATGGAATCAGAGAGGGTAGGCCTAAGTCTACACTTTTCTGTGCCGCGATAGAGATGGTATGATGGATCATGACGATACACTTATGACATATTTGGTTTGTTTATGTCAACCCGTTTTCAGGTAATCTCTTAAGTTTCAATTACTATCTATCCTACCCAAAAATTAAATGGGCTGTTCGTGTTTATGATTCAAGAGTACCTGGGTGAGCAAAAATATCTTTGCTTGATTGAACTTCAGGATCTGAATATTGACTTAGAGCTTGCGAAGTTTGATATCTTTGTAATAGTATTTACAGCCCTTGAACCAACCAGTGGAGTGTAAAAGCTTCCTGCTCTACCCTTGATAAAGACGGGTGTGTGGTGCGGATCATACTTGTACATGCAAGGCGAGAAAAGAAACAATTTCCTCTGCGGGTGCTTTTGGATTTGATCTCATAGGCCATTGTTTGGCCATGTCACCTCACCTTTTTGGGAATGGCTACACGTGACATGCAATACCAAACACACATGATACCACGACCAGTGCTCTCGAGAGCCAAAATTACCTTGCTTGCTTGCTTGTCATGCTATAGATTTTGTGAAATTAAGAAGCCAGCACACCAAAAAGAAACAAAATGGTATAAGAGTATATAAATGCCATGCCACATTCAATAATAAGAAGAAATACAGAGGTGTTAGCATATTAGTGTTTTATTACAGAGGGCATACATAATTCTACAACTATAACGCTCCGCTATCCCTTACCAAACCAAAATTACCAATCATATTCATAAAATCGACCTCGTGGGTAATGTCGAAAGGGTACCTGGGCCTCTTGTCGGTGAATATAGTTATTAAGTCGAGCAAATCGACCGAATTCTCGGAACTTTGATTGCTCAATGGCTTCATCGGCTTCGTGTCGGAGATAATCTTCAAAATGGTGTCGTTTGTCATCTTCGGCTGCTCTCAAAGCGAGAATTTGTCGTCTTTCTCGATCTTCTTGCTCAACCTGAAATACAGCAGACGACAATCACAAGATGGTGCACAAGGCGGGAAATATGTGGAAATAAATCTTATATCAATAAGGCATATAGGGAGATAGTGATGGTTTGAATGTCTGCAATACACTGGTATTTATCGGATCTAACCTGGAAGCTGAAAGTTATTAGAGACAAATATTTGAGTATATTTATAACGCAATTGTCATCATTATCTCAATGAGTGAGCAAAAAGGTAGGCCGTAAAACTTGAAAAATGATACGTACTCGGGAATGATGATAATCGCCATCATTGTGATGGTTATACAGATCATTGTACAGTCGGTATTTCAGATATCCACCATTATGTGGGTAAGAAGCGTGTGGTGCGGCAAACACTGGGGCAGGACCATGGCCGGCCAAATAACGGGCTCCGTGGTAGAATCTGAAATGCATTACATTTTCTATGTATACATCAGCGTATAAATTAAAATTGAAAGTAATATTTACAGATGTGTTGATGAAACGATGAATATTAGCTATATGAAGCGTATTTGAAAACCCGTTAATAAAGGGAAATCGGGTGTTCTAGACAGTGAGCATACTTAAATGTTCATGGTTATTCTGGCCTCTAAATTAGTAATTACTCTGCTACAACTGCCACAGTAAACTACAGTTATTGCTGGATAGCCCCTTGCGTGTCGATTCTCCTCACCATATATATCTGAGCCCTAGATACGCTTTTTGTAATTCTGACAATGGATTCATTACCTTTCTGGGGCAGCATAAACGGCTGGTCTGACAGCTACGGCGGCGGAAGCAGGGTAAGCATATCCAGAGACTTCATCGGAGTTGAGGACAGCCTTGGCTTTGGCTAGGAGTAGAGAGCCAGAAAATCGGTGTCGGTGGGCGGCGTAAGGTTGAGGAGCAACGACTTGAGTGACGACAGGAGCCGGAGCTATAACTTGTGGAGCAGCAACAACTTGTGGAGCTGTGTACACTACTTCAGGTCGGACTTCTTCTCGGGGAGCCCAAGCTAATGAGCCGAGGACGGCGCATGCCAAAACTAAAAGCTGTCCGTTCATTTTGCTCTGAAAAAAGAAAAGTATTTATTTTGTTTTGTTAAAGGGAATTGTAAAGAGAATTTTTTTTTTGTGTGCAGAAAAAAAAGAAGAAAACTATGCTGACGAATGTGAGGTCTGGTTCAAAACCGTACACATAGCACCCAAATATGATTGTGTTTTTATATCCGCAATGGCTATGAATCTCGCACGTCCAATTCTGCATATGACAATCGACGTTTAAAATGACGGTCAAAAACAATTTCTTTCAAAATTCACCACGAATGTGCCAGTCTATTTTCACGATTGGCTATTATAATTTTGACCTTTAAAATAATTATCAACTACAACCATTGTTCTGTCAATTTTATTCTCCTGACCAAATTAAAAACTTCTTGTCGTCAAATTTCACACCTTTATGAAGGCTAACATTGTCTCGAAAGGGAGATTATTTTGTGTGATTCTCTTTCCTTATTTTTGGCGGAAATGGTAGTTTGGACAATGCAGATACAAATTCTTAAAAAAAAAATAAAATAAAATCGACGTATAGAATTAAATGATATAACTATATCAATTTTTTTTTTCACATATTGATAGTGAAAAATACAATATTGGAGTCTTTTAAAATGCTATTCAGTTAGGAAAAAATGGTAAATTAGATAAATTGTATCCAATCTTACGACATAAAATTATCTCAAGACATAAAATCTATCAGACGTTTTATTAACCCAATCAAGTGCGAAAATGAAGGACGTAAAACTTCTTTTCATATCTTTGCATATTGATGATTAACTGTTACGACTAATTGCAAGAAAGTTTTTGAACTGTCTCAGGACTCTCTCAGAGCAGCCACTTTGACCCTTTTCAATGACAAAGGGGAACCGGATAAACAATCCTAAAGGGTTTATAAGGTTTTTTCTAATCTTTGTATATCAGGTATCCGACAAACTTATAGCTTCGAGTTGTAACAAGCCGATTTCTCGCTCGACTTTTGTGGTTCCGACACTTAAAAAATTGCATCGCTTGATTAAGACGTCAATATCTCAAATTCCATGCTATAATGGAAATTGGAATATTAGTGCAGATGGAAGCTGTATTGTGTACCCGATATTTACCAAAGACTAGAAAACCTCTTTACAATTCCTTTAAGTTATCATTCTGTTCTAAAAAAAAATCTCAAATTTTTATGTGTATCGGTATCACTATTAGAATCAATTTACACCGTTCTAATTTTCATTCAGACGTTTGTGGTTGTTGCAATTCCACTAAAACTAAGTGTTTGATGATGTCACTAATCGCGAAGGCCTTATTGTTAAACAAGCATATTTTGCGATTTGTGACGTCAAAAAACACTAATATTTTGTGGAATTGCAGGATCCACAAACGTCTGATTAATTAAACAGATGCTATCAGTGTCTCCGATACACATATTTAAAAAAAAAAAACTTTTTACTATCTGTTTAGTAAGATAGAATTTTAAGAAATACAGTAATCAAATTGTATAATAAAACTAAGTTTTAAATTGAGTTTAGTGAGTTTTCGATATTAAACACCAGACGTCTAACTACAACTGACTGGTGGCACCGCTGCTCCTTGAATTTTGGTTTGAAAAAAGAAAATAAATTTAACTTACTTTTTGTTGTCAGCGGTTGATAATAACAGTAGATTATGATGTTGAAATGAAACTGACGGGTCTTATATACCCTTCCCCTCTCCCCTCATATTTACAGACAGAAAATTACTTTAGACTCATCACCAGGATGCTACATAAGGTTATTAGGACGTGTGAAGCACGTGCGCTGATTAGGCACGATTAAATTTCCATTGGTCTGAATTTGGATGTTGAGTGAAAGAGATTAATAAATTCTTTTCGTATATTTACTGAATTTTAACTCGAAATTGAGTAGAAAACTTCAGAAATTTCGTATTGATATAGAAAAGATTAACGTCAAATTTTCATCAAACGTATTACTTACTTTAGATCATGTGACAAGTGGCTCGCGACAATAGGAAGGGCACCTGCTGGATTTAGGGATTATACCCTCATAACAACTTTTAAATAAAAAACGTGATTTTTGAAGAAAAAAAAAACATCTCGACTTTTGATTTTCTGTAGAAAATAAATCACAGTTTTTGTCTTTTATTATTGAAAAGTTAGAATCTGTATATATACAGGTCTATTCACTCTTAGCTTAACATTTATACAATAGTTTACTTTTAATTGTATACATCAAAGAAATTTGGCGGAATAAATACTAGATAATTCATTTCTAAACTTTTTACCAGCTTGGAAGCGTTCCTGGCGCTTATTGTCGGGTTTCTCTAATGCATGCTGGTTTTTTTAAGAGGGGGCAATGACTAATCGTTCGGACGGGACAGTAGCGTAAACAATGACTCCGTATGTGGTAGCCGGCTACTTTTACTACACTATATACAGACTGTGCCTTTTAAAGATCCTACGAGAGTTGGAAATGAGTAGAGAATAGACTAAGTTCTTTCATTCTGGGTTTGTTTTTGTGTATGTGGCGAGTATACGCGACTGTGACATACGCAAAAAAAGAGAAAAAAAAGAGGGAGGCATAGTGGTTTCCAAAATTTTCAGAACTATGGTGAAGAAGTAATCAACATAACCTATTGAAAAGCTGCTTCAGGGGTGTCAAAGGGGTAGGGGAAGGGTTTATTAAAATGTAGGCTATGATAGTAGCTTTATTTAATAAGAATCTTAAAACATTGGAATGAAATGAAATGAATGGAGTTTTACGTCCTACTTTTCTGCACCATGTGGGCTAATGAAGACGGGTAACGCCATGTAGGGTGCAATGAGGGAAATTTTGCCAGGACAGTGGCATTAGCCTGCTCTTTTTCGATTTCCAACTGTCGAGGGATCTTTAAAACATTGAATGACGAGGCTTTAAACAAATACACTACTACCACCATGAATAGAGATATATATTAGTAGGCCTAGCTATATGCCTATATCCATTAAACTAAGTAGGCCTAGGCCTAATTATTGAAAAACGCTCCTGGATTAGCCTATTGGCCTACCTACTTATTATTACCAAGTAGTGTGTCTTCCCGAATGAAAGTCAATCTAATTGCCGCGACATCACGGTACGCTCTTTTTGCGCTCTTTTGTGACAAGTCGAAATTTTCTGATATTAATTAATATTTAAATTATAAAAGTTTATTTAATTTATACCTTTAAAGTTTTACTTTACTACCACCATGAATAGAGATATATATTAGTAGGCCTAGCTATATGTCTATATCCATTAAACTAAGTAGGCCTAGGCATAATTATTGAAAAACGCTCCTGGATTAGCCTATTGGCCTACCTACTTATTATTACCAAGTAGTGTGTCTTCCCGAATGAAAGTCAATCTAATTGCCGCGACATCACGGTACGCTCTTTTTGCGCTCTTTTGTGACAAGTCGAAATTTCCTGATATTAATTAATATTTAAATTATAAATATTTATTTAATTTATGCCTTTCAAGTTTTACTTTGATTTTTTTTTTTGTCTAAAACTTTTGAAGCCTATTTTTCGTAGAAATTGTCATTTGCGTCATAACTATTTCAAAGAAGGCGCGAAAATGTACTGCGATTAATTTAAAACCTAACAACAGCTAAATTATACATGAGCAAATAAATTAAACCCAATACAGGATTTCGATCCTTTTTCGAGTTTATAACTCAAAGGCATTTGAAATAATGCAAAATACTGTTTAACAATATTTCAGGTAAAACTAAGAAACACTTAAAGCCAATTACTGGACTAAATCAAAATAAAAATCTTTTCAAAATGGCTGACAAGTTGGAATAAGAACTAAGCAGGCATTGATCAGAATTGTCAAAAAATGACGTCATATGTGAGTTTCAGCCTATCAAAATGAATGTTTTATTTTTCAGCAGAAATCTCAGCTACTCTACAAATATTCCTACGCCGTCCCCACATGGGCCGACTGACCTCACCAAGTACCATAAAGGAAGTCTTTATTCAACTATTCTGAGTCAATTTTTACAATAAATTTCGATGTCAGATACTAAATGACAAGATGGATTTGTCGAATTTAAGCACGATTTTAGAGAAGACCATTTCTCCAGGTAATTGTCACAAAATTAGTCGTTCATATTCCTATGTTTATTTTGAAAAAATAGTTGTGATCGATTCGTCATTTTTGTCAAGTCGTCTTCTGTCATTCATGTCTGATTAACTTGTTATGATCTTACGTAATCGCTTCTTATCTCACTGCAGACAACCAAGATATAGAAGCAGCTCAACAATTCCTTAATCAAGCCTCGGCAGACAACTTAGTAAGTATAAACCCAATTTCAACAAAAACAAACATGGCGGTTTTCAGAATTGAGAATAGAATGGGAATAGGCCTATAAAAAATTAGACTCTATGGTTTATTTGATCTATGCATTTAAGATTTATTCAGCCTAGCAATTGAGTTAATTGTCCAAGTGACTGACATGAATTAAATTGCAAGTTGTAACAAGTAGTTATTTTATTTGATTGTCAATGTTTCCTTGACGAGAAAGACATTTACACATACAGAAAGAAATGAAATGTCTTCGACATTGGTGCTTATCTATTAGATGCCAATTTCTTTTTTTATTAAACCATCACCCCTTATCAAAATAATAATAAAATTAAATTAAAAAATAATTAATTTACTTGTATAATATTCATGTGTTTTGTGTGTGTCTTCAGTTTTAAGCCACATGAGAAATCACGAAGATAAAATTATTTTGATATTAGTTTAAGTAAAAGTAAATTTGTAATAGTTTCGGAGGTATTGAAAGAGACAAAATCCTCCCAAATTATGACAATTTGTGGTATAAGAAACACTTGCCTAGGGGGCGAAATTGTCTTTAACTAGGCTAGTTAGACTATTCCCTTTTAAGTTGGAGGGATGACACCAAAAAGAATAATGGAGATGAATATGGCGTTTAGGCACAAGCACAGTCTGTTTCTATCAATAGATGGACTCTCTCTAATTTAATTCGTATTTGATTGGTCAGCTATAATTACCTGTCAAGTAAAAACAAAAGTGAAAGTAAAAGTATGGTTACTGACTTTTCAATTTATTTAATTCTAAGAAAAGAGTAGTTATATTGGTGATTTCCATTCTTTAAAAAAATTTTGGATAATGAAAATAACAACACAGTAATTTTACAGCAACATTTATTTTGTTAAATAGATAACATTCTGCCCTGAAATACTCCAGAGGTGGATACAGTGAAAAGATGGGTGTAAATTTTCTTTGTATCATTAATAAGCAATAGTTGGATAAGTATGAAGAGGAACACTGAGGGGGGTTATGAAATATGTCTAGTGTTAAGGTGAAATATTCAATGAAACTATTCATATAAGGTAGGGAATATGTTTCTTTAGGTAATTGGTAGAATAAACATCTGAAGCCGAAATGGTCATAACACACGTTAGCCTCCTTCTTTATAACCTATCACAGAGAGAGTCAACTTTTGTTAAAAACAGGTGCCTGTGGTTTAGGCTACGGGGGAATCCAATGAAAGAAAATTGAATGAAATGTCCATTCAGTGAATAATTCATTCCAAATTTTTCAGCCCAAATTACTGCAAGAATTATCTCAAGTATTAAGAAATGGAGGAAACAGTGCAGTGGCAAGAACTCAGGCTGGATTACAACTTAAAAATTTTCTGTATTCTAAAGATGCCACCACTAAGACTCAATATCAACAACGATGGCTGGCTTTACCTGAAGACATCAGAAATGTAGTCAAAGAAAATGTAAGTTTGCTTAGAAATTGAAAAAAAAGGAAAAAGCAGATTGAACTTAATTCACTGCTGTTTTCATACTCTCAAAGTTTATCTTTATTTACTTGTTTAAAAATCTAGTTCATTTGTAATGAAATTATATTTTATTGAAATACTTGAAAATAACTAATTTATATGAAAACTATCAATGTTTAAACAAATGTCAAATTGTGCTTTTTACGCCACCTTTTGCTTATTTTCAGATATTAGCCACACTTGGTACGGAAACAGTTCGGCCCAGTTCTGCAGCTCAGTGTGTCGCTAACGTGGCATGTGCAGAACTACCACATAAATTATGGCCTAATTTGATCGAGCACCTGACCGGCAACATTACAAATCCTGAAGGTACAGAAATGATGAGAGAAGCCACGCTAGAAACTATTGGTTATATTTGCCAAGATATCGTAAGTAGATATTTTTACATCCTTCATTGTTGTACATAAAAAATCCCTTGGGTTCCTTAAGATCCTGACCAGCTTGTCCTTGTATTAGCTTTTGGGCATAGCATAGTAAGCTTGTGACAGTCATTATTCAGTTATAGTTATCTCCCTTGAATTTTCAGGATCCAGAGTTACTACAGTATCAATCTAATGAAATATTGACAGCTATTGTTCATGGTATGAAGAAAGAGGAAACCAGGTTAGTATTCTAGCAATATAACAGAATTACTTAAATTTCTTTACAGTGCATTGTGTCTGACTTGCAATCAGCTCTGCATTCCAAATAAATAGAGAACATGATAGTTTTAGTAGTACAGTTGTGTTCAATTGGAAATTGCTGAAATTGTATGTGGAATGAAAAGAAATGGGACATGTAGCAGAGGTATAGCCTTTATCAGTTGAAAAGAAAAGGCTGATGGTACTATTCTCGCATCCTCATTGTGCACAGCATGTAGAAACTCCATTTCTTGTTATCAGCTGGATTTTATTACTTGGTGATAACCGTAATCTCAGAATATTTGATAATTTGATTCTTGTTTTCAGTAATCATGTAAGATTAGCAGCCACCAACGCCTTGTTAAATTCTCTAGAGTTCACACGTCAGAATTTTGATAGAGAGGTATGTACTATTTTTATTATGGATCAAAGATGTTCTAGTCATAATGTTCAACTAAAATGTCCATTTGGATATTTCCCTTTGATTGACTTGTGGTAAAAAGATCATATTTGCTTCAAATTTTTACAACCTAGTTTCCCTCGTCAGTAATGTAGGATGGAGAGAATAAAGCATCTTGTGGTATGGATGGTAAAATATACAGAGGCTCTGCCTTAGCAAAATTTCCACTTTGCGCACTGCATGGTGTTGTTTAATTTGATCAGAACTGAAGATTCATTGTATCTTATAACTTGATCGGATTAGTATCTTTGATTAGCAACTCTTGTTTTTTCTATAAATTATTTTGTTATCATAGAGTGAACGCCATTTTATAATGCAAGTAGTATGTGAAGCTACCCAGTCCACTGATACAAGAATTCGTGTGGCAGCTCTACAGTGTTTAGTAAAGATCATGTCTTTATATTATATTTACATGGAGCATTACATGGGGCCAGCTTTATTTGCTGTAAGTATATTACCACATGAGGAGAGGTCATGAACTTTCAAAATTAGATGATTTTGGTAAGCATAAGTTATGTTATTTCAGAAATGTGTAACTTATGCTTATCTTAAAAAGGAGTGTAAAATAGAACAAAATTTTATAAGCTTGAAGTATTGTCGACTTGAGTAGAAAATAATTGATAAGATGCATGTGTTAAGAATTGGAATGATTTCAAATTTCCTTGTAAGATTTTGTAATTTTCCAAAAATGTCTGCCAATGTATTGACAATTTCGAATGAACAGCTTCAATTTAAATTGTTTTCAGAGAATGTCATTGTCATTTTTTCAGATCACAATGGAAGCTATGAAATCTGATGTAGATGAGATAGCATTACAAGGATTTGAATTTTGGTCCACAGTTTGTGATGAAGAGGTAGATCTGGCTATAGAACTCTCTGAAGTAAGTTTATTTGGCTGTTAAGAGTCACATATTTACTTTTGTCCATACCTTTAATATATTTATAGAATGGAAAAAGCGTCTTGTCATTTTGATGAGACAATAAATGGAGACCCCATTCACTACAAGCTATGTTTATTAAAAATCCCTTGGCAGTTAATTTGTGAAATATAAATTAAATTACTCTCATTGCACGCTACGTGATTATACTCAATCAGATTCCTTTTTACAATTTTAGTAATTAAATTCTTACCATCCCATTATTATAACTGATATTTTTTCTGTGCAGATATCACATGAGTAATAGAAATCAAACTGATTGTCAATATTTGTACCTTTTAGGCAGCAGAACAAGGGAAACCACCTGAAAACACAAGTAGATTTTATGCTAAAGGAGCTCTACCATATTTAATTCCTATTTTATTAATAACTTTAACTAAACAGGTAGGCGAGGTAAAACACAGCACTTTGTTTATATTTTTATATTAATCTTAGGGCTCGGCAATTTATAAACCTGATCTGAACATCTAATTTGTTGCAAGTTTGATTTTCCTCATGGAAAAACAAATGTTGTGACAATTCTTTGAAAGATATATTTCAAACTAGAGAAAGAACTATTCGACATCATTTATTTGGAGAATGGTAAATTCTTGTGATCAAAGATTGTAGGAATTCAAGATATATTTTGTCATCTGGTATAAATTGCTGAGCCCTCTTTTATTTATATTTAACTAATATTCTGGCAAGCTATTGAAGAATGTCTTGATTTTTGTTGAATTTTAACTGACAAATTTCAGTTATAACAGTGTTTTTAATCCTTTCAACTGACCAACCAATAAATACCCCAGCAGCTTTTACCAAGTAACGTCACATGTACCGCAGGGTATAGTGCCCAAAGGGTTAAGAAATGGAACTTGGTAGTCTATAGATGGTTCAGATTATTTTTACCAAATGTCTTGTTCGTTGAGTTTGCTTAATTATCTTTCTCAATTCCTACTTATCAACACCAGCTGTCCTGATGATTGATACACACCCAAAACTTGTGTTGATAGTGTAATATAATCTAGTTCTGTAGACTGACAGGGAATGGCAGTTTCTACAAGATGTTACTTACATTGTTTAATAATTCATTCATCATTGCATGTGGAAGTTATTTGTTTGCATGTTGTTGAAAGTTAACTAATATTGTGCCAATGGTTTTCAAAGATGACACTTACAATGATTTTCAGAATGGTTGCTTTTTTCATATTTTGAAAAGAAAATTCATATTAATGGTCAAACCTCATGAAATAATTTTTCTTAAAATTATCCTTACCCATATACACCTTGGTCGACTGTATTATCTCAAGATTTACAGTCTAGATTTTCTGAAACTCTCTACCATCTGGTCCATAGATAAATCTTTTATAGATTACTGCAATCATATTTAAAAGTGCTATTGAAACAGTCAGTGTATCTGATTGTATATTATTTCTGGTATTGTAGGAAGAGTTTGAGAGTGATGATGAATGGAATCCATGTAAAGCAGCTGGAGTGTGTCTCATGTTAATGGCTACGTGTTGTGATGATGATATTGTAGCTCATGTCTTGCCTTTCGTCCAGGAAAATATCCGAAACCAGGATTGGAGATTCCGAGATGCTGCTGTCATGGCTTTAGGTAAGAGGCATTTGCTCTGGCCCCCAAACAGAAAATTCAAATCAAATCAGGAACTAAATATAAAGTCTAAAAAGCTCCTGTTCATTTCATGTATGGTTACAGAACAAAATTTTAATTTCTTGTCCCTTTTGAAATTAAATATGATAAAGTTGTAAGATCTATAACAACTCTGATGGCTTATTAAAAAGAAATGAAAGCTAGTTATAGTCTAAATAAATGTTCATGCTCTGACAGGAAAATACACATTCATTGACATGTTACTGTAATATACATATACATCCTGCAACTTGTCTGGAAGGATTAGGTCTGTCGTTGGTGATGATATCATTCTTGTGTTGCAGGTTCAATTATTGAGGGTCCAGATCCAACTAAATTAAAACCGTTAATGGAACAGGCCATGCCGATGTTGATAGAACTAATGAAAGATCCTAGTGTAGTTGTGAGAGACACGACAGCCTGGATGTTTGGACGTGTTTGTGAAATATTACCTGATGCCGTTATTAATGAACAGTTTCTGGCTCAGCTGTTACAAGCTTTAATTGAAGGTCTACAGGGAGAACCAAGAGTAGCCAGTAATGTCTGCTGGGTAAGTGACATTTTAGCATGTGTCTCTGGAATATCATTTTGTATTTACATCTATATG